TCGGAAATACAAACAATAAGTTTTAAAAACATATATAAAGACTTCAGTCGAATGTAAGTACCATGCATTTTTTTTTTTTATTTTTTCCAAATGCATAAATTTATTTTAATAATGGTTTCACATTAAGGGGTCGTTTACTTTACGGGACATGACAAGATAAGCAGATTAGTCTTGGGATATCTTACGTTTACTTCAGGGGAATGGGATTGGATATGCTGACGTGGCGCACATGTGGAGGCAGCGCAAATTGGTTCATCCGCCATTTGCTGATTAAATTCGTCCTGCCTCCCCCCTCTGATATAATAATCCCACGCACATCATACCTATATTGCCCTCAAATTTCGATGTTAAATGTCCAATATGCCCCTTAATTTGCATTATTTTACAACTGCAACCCATAGAAATAAAATCGATGATCGTCATTATAAACCCTAGTTTCTATGCGCAGACAAACCATTGTTGTGAAGCTTCGTTGTCTCCGTCGGGACTAGAAGGTGAGGTCCACTTCGCCATTTTTTTCTTCTCCATTTCAATTTATGTCGATTTCGCGTTACATTCGTGGGCGTGCTTTGTCTTCTCCGTCGATTTCTCCTTCGTTACAATTTTATTTAGTTTATTTAATTTTTTTTGGTTTATTTATCACAATTTTTGTTGGTCCTGTACAAAACGCCATCTCCGTCGGGCATAACTATGAGCTCTTCCCAGGTACCGGTGGAGGTAAACACCTAGACATTCCTCAATGTTTTGGTGATGTATTGTTCTTTTTCATGATAAAAGTGGAAATTGATGAAAGTTTTATTTTTTGCAATTACTTTTGTACGTGATAAAGCTACTCCAGTAGCTAATTTTATTAATAGGTTCTTATATTTTGGGGATGTATTTTTCTTTTTCTATAACATCTACTTGTTCTGAATAATTGTTCTTTTCTGTAGATTATCGAACAAGCATATTGCTCACATACATACGTACACTATGATAGATCGAAAAATATGCGTTGAATTATTAATATTTGATTATTTACTTTTATCAAATAATAGTAGCTTTTAATCATGAATAAATCAATAAGCAAACATTGCATGAATTATGACCTAATAAATCTACATGCGAGCTAGTGGGTATAATGTGTCATGTGTGTATGCGTGTGCACTTTTAAATATTAGATTCAGATGTAACATTATGAATATTTCAAATTTTTGTGTATTTATATGGTAGATAAACAAATTTAAATTAGATTTAAAGGAAAACTGATGCAGCGCATCCCACATCGGGTTTGAAAGGAAACGAAGCAGGCCTTATATGAGGATGTGGATACCTTCACTAGTAAAACGCGTTTTGGTGGGTGTGTATTGAAGCCCAGCCAAGAACTAAGCCGTGCGGGTGGCAGAAGTAGCCCAAAGCGGACAATATCTTACTAGGGTCTGCATCAGTTGGTATCAGAGACAGCCCATGTGCCAGCGGTGACCGCTGGGCCCACAAGGGGGTGGATGATGCAGCGCATCCCACATCGGGTTTGAAAGGAAACGAAGCAGGTCTTATATGAGGATGTGGATACCTTCACTAGTAAGACGCGTTTTGGTGGGTGTGTATTGAAGTCCAGCCAAAAACAAAGCCGTGCGGGTGGTGAAAATAGCCCAAAGCGGACAATATCTTATTAGAGTCTGTATCAAAAACTTAATCATGAAAATGGTATGATTCAAGAGAAGTATAAATTTAACCGAGTATGACATTTGTTGGTCTATATAATGTCTGATCCGGAATTTGTCTCGAATATTAAATTCAATATTAGCCAGAAAAATATTCTCCTATGTATTTTCTAACTATTTCAACCAAAAAATTATAATTAAGCAAAATTTGGTAAATATCACATCGAGTGCGTGAGAAACACATTGCTCGATAATAACTATGCTCATGAACTCAATTTTAGAAAAAAAAAAATAAATAAAAAATCACCCGATTACTGACAAATGTTCAACATGCATCATTTTTCAGTGATAGTAGGTAATAAGGAAAAAAAAATAATATTTTACTTCTAATTTTCTCTAAGTAGTTTTATTAGTTTATATAATATATATGACATATTATAGTTAATATTCCTATCAACAGTTTTAATTAATGTTACATAAAACATAGTTATTGTTAATGTTTCTTAAAAAAAAGTGCTAGGCTCATACATAACTGTTAGAGGACATACATAAAAGTATGTCATTAAACTACATAATTATGCATATTTGTTAAATAAAAAAAAAAAAAGAAAAAAAAAAAGAAAAATGACTGAGTGGATTCGTCCAACAAGTAATTTGTCCAACGATTAGATTGTCCCGTAATTTTTTCATTTTTTTTTTTTATTTTTTAATATATTTCACATTAGTTGACTTATGTTCAACTAAGTTCAGAGTTTATAGATAAATCATAATAATTATAGTCCACGTCTATCTATTCCCTATATCTTTTCTAGATAATGATATTTTTTTTATTAAATTAAATTTTGTGACAACATTAATTTGACATATTGATAATTCATTTATGTTGATTTACATTAAATATCTAATCTATAACGTGCGCAACATTGTCCTGATGCACATATTATTGGTCCCCTAACAAAATAATTTTCCCCGATAACATGGCATTTTCCAATGATATGTCACAAATTTTGTCACTATATATATACACTGATTCTAGTCTTTCAAGTACTTTGCAATATTGAATATATAAAGGTTATAATCCATATACCACATCAAAAGAATACAGATTCATAGATTCTGGAAAAAGGGTTAAAATCAGCTTTTTGAAAAAAATAATAATAAATAAATAAATAATTAAATAGAAAGGAAAATGAAAAACATTTGTGATGCCTGCTAAATTAGATAAATTAAACGAAACGCTGCTCCTGAGCTCGACTCGACTTGTTAAAAACACATTTAGTTAACAAGTCGAGATTTACTCCACTCATAAGAGTTGATAAATATGAGATTTTACGTAATTTATTTGAACTTTTAGCATAATTAGCCTCGTTGAGGATTGTTAACGAGCCGAGCTCGTTTATCGACTCATTAATTGGCTAGACTCAAATTGAACTCCAGTATCAGAAGTTCGAGTTTTGCCTTTACTTACTACTATTGATCCTCAACTTCTACAACTTAGTGAGGTATCTATATTTATATCTATATATGTATTTATATCTATATCTATATCTATGTCTATATCTATATCTATATCTATATCTATATCTATATCTATATCTATTTTATATAAAGAGGTTGTTGGAAAAATACATTAATAGAAAATTTGACCAAATAAATATAATGTTTGACTTACTATTAATTGAAAGTTTGAACAAACACATGTGGATCTTTAGTAACAAAATTTGAATCCTATTTTTTTGGTAACAAATTTTAAGATTCTTATGGTAAAATTTAGTGGTTCATTTTTTATATTTAAAGTTACCTTATTCAATTATTTAGGAAAAATTGTGTGCAACTTTTTAAAATTTAAATGATCGCTTTTTTTTTTTTGGGTTCTTATGTTTTTTTAATCATGTTTTACTGAGATCTTGGTAAGTTCATATCATTTTTTTTTTGTTAAGTTCACACCATTTTTTTTTATGAAAGAGACAGTTGCATAAATGTTAACAAACTATTTTAATTTTTTATTAGAATTATTTTTAATTCATTTTGTTTGGTAAAAAAAATCAATGCAATGTTAGAAAAATTAGGTTGCATTTTTAGAAAAAATGGATGATTTTTTTATTTGGCTTAAAAAATATTCGGATCAATTTGTTTAATAAAAAAATTGGTTTATTTGTAGGAAATCGGTTCATTTTTAGGAGTAACTAATGATACTTTTCAATTTTTCTTAATTGAAATTTAGAAGTAGATTTAAAATAAATAATGGGTGAAAAGCCCTAAAAGTTTCTACTTTTTTTCTACTATAATTTTATTTAATAAATAAGATCCTTTATTTTATTTTAAATTTTTGTTGACAACCGACTTGGAATGCACCTTAAGACGAGAATAATTGGGATTATCAATGCCAACATAACACATCTCAGAAAATAATACATCTCAGTCCAAACCGGACAATGGAACTGACTTCTCAAAGATTTCCAAATTCTTCACTCATAAATCGAGAACCGACGTGGCCAAACTCCAAAGCAGGTGACTAAGCCCGTTTTGATTGGACTGAGAACAAAAAGTGCAATTATTACGGTCTCCTCAACAATTAGCAGACCGGTTCAAAATGGCATATCGCATTAAATGCGATCCTATCTACATTGTACCAAAAGTGAAAGCACTTGCTACTATAAATAGCGAAATTCATTTTTGTACAGAGGATCCAACCTTTTTGAATAACCATCTTTTACTATAAGCAAAAAATATTAACTCGGTTAATAAGAAAACCGACATCTTGTACTCCAAGATAAATACAATGATAATAAAAATCCTAATTTTCTTTGCCTTAATTACATTGTATTATGGTTGTTAAATTTCGCATAACAATTTTATTAACTAATAACTAATAATATGCAATTTTAGATAAAATTTGAAATCCTATGTAGTACTTTGTGTGCCAAAGAATTAAACTAATAATGTTGTACATAAGGAAGTGTTTAATAACATATACATTTCATTCCCATGGTATTTTTAATTTCATGAGACAATTTAAATACAAAAATACCTTTAAAAAATAAATATGTAATAAATGCTCTCGTGCATGACACGAGTACCGTACTAGAAGGGCATAAAGGCCCACGGGATAGATTATTTGAAAAGAATTAATGCGGACCCTAATGGAATCACTATTCAGCCCAAAGGCCGTTTAACATTTTTCGATTGCTTAAGGGCCAAAACCAGCCCAGAAACACTCATTGGATCCGAAGCCCACTTAATTATCTCTCTCACCGTCCTCACCATTCCTTACGCTTTACACTGCAACAATAACCAACAAAAACCAGCAAAAAACCCTAGATTACGGATCGGGTTGACCCGAATCCGAACTCCGCCATGGAACCCGAAGACGTCGCCCCCGGGGCAACCATCGATGAGGACGATATCTACGCCAACGGAGGAGACGGCAGCGAGTCGCAGCGGCACCGCCCGATCATCAGCGGCGAGCAGCTCGACGTCGAGGCATACGCCGCCCTGTACGCTGGCCGCACGAAGATCAGCCGCCTTCTCTTCGTCGCCGAGAAATGCGGCATCACGTCCATGGAGCTGGAGGCATTGCGGCTGGCGTACGACGAGACGAAGAAGGGGGCGAACACGCAGCTGTTCAGGGAGGTTGTAGCGAGGATTGACGGGCGGTTGGGCCCAAATTACGGGCCTGATAATGCGTGGGCCGATGTCGTGGACCGGCGGGCCGAGCTGAGGAAGGAGAAGCTCGAGAACGAGCTGAACGCTTACAGGGTATGTGTGGTTAATGTATGAATACAAAAATGTAGAAAAATCACTGGATAAGCAACTGATTTTGTAGCTTCCTTGGCTTAATTCTGAAGAAAAATCTACTTTTGGAAAAGAGAATAGAAAATGAATGTCTGATACTGTTGATACTTTTTGTGAGTTTGACCCAGCTTCAAGATAAACAGTGATCTAAGAGGTCAACTTAGCACTCAGTTGGATTTGCTTCTTGAAATTTGCTACATTACAACAAGAAAATATCATGTGTTCTTAGTATGACATATATTTGGGGTGTTCCATTTTATCAGACGAAGAAGGCTTGAGTATGAAAATGATCAAAAGAAACAAAAGAAAAAACAAAAACCGTTAGCTTTTAATAGTCTATTGAATTCATATTCATATCCTATCCCTCTTATTGGTGCTTTGTCTTGTGCAGACAAACTTGATCAAAGAGAGCATTCGGATGGGATACAATGATTTTGGAGAGTTCTACTATGCACACGGTCAACTTGGTGAGGCATTCAAGAATTATGTCCGGACGCGTGACTACTGCACTACGTCTAAGCATATTATTCAAATGTGCCTGAACGCGATCTTGGTTAGCATTGAGATGGGCCAGTTCACGCATGTTACGAGTTATGTTAGTAAGGCTGAGCAAAGCCAAGATGCGTTGGATCCTGTTACAGTTGCAAAGCTGCGCTGTGCAGCTGGGTTAGCTCACCTGGAAGGCAAAAAGTATAAGCTTGCTGCAAGAAAGGTTTGCCTATGAAAAACTTCCACTTATTTAGAGAAATTTAATGCTGTAGTATACCATGAACAGTAAGTGTTCTGTGATTTGGTTAACTGACATGATATTCGGTGGGAAATTTACATTGAAACTGATTGCTTTAGTATAAGTTATAATTTTGTTCATGTTGTTGAGTTTCCCTTGCTATTTTGTGACGTGGAATATTATTCTTTCACTGTATGATACGTGCTGTATAGAGATATATGACGGGTATCGTAAGTGACTCAGGTTTGATTTCAGTTTACTGAAGTTGGTGCTTTTCCAGCTGGAAGAACTCGATTAAAACTATTGAGGCCAAAAAAAAGACAAGGAACAAGACACTAAGCTGTTGGGTTGCTTTACCAGAATAAAAGTGTTCTATACCAAATAGTAATTCTATGACCCAGTTGTCTGCAAGACACTAGCTTTATTCCATCTGAGCAATTGATAATGTTTGCATGTTGGCTGAACCTTAAACTCATTAAGGGGCCTTGTTTTAGTTTTTTGTACAACATTTCCTTCTTTAAATACATTAAGCATGTTTAATGCATCTGTCTTCAAATACATCATGTTTGATAACATCCCACCAAAGAGAAATTACTCCGAAACCCCCTAATGGCGACCACTACATGTAAACCGAAATTTCAGTACTTGTAAGCTGAACCGCTGGATATGCTTCTGTTGTATATCACTGTCTAAAATTCTGTCGGCACTTGCAGTTCTTGGAAACTGGCCCTGAACTGGGGAACAACTACAATACAGTGATTGCACCCCAAGATGTTGCAACCTATGGCAGTCTATGTGCACTTGCAAGTTTTGATCGTGCAGAACTGAAGGTAAAATTACTGTTAAGAATATTCTTTTAGGTTCTGTTTGGTCTGAATATGAATTTGCTATTTTTCTGAAAGCTCTGTATCTTTTTTTTTTTTTTTCCCTGGCAGAGCAAAGTCATTGACAACATCAACTTCCGAAACTTCTTAGAATTAGTACCTGAAATAAGGGAGCTCATCAATGATTTCCATACTAGGTACCTCGTTTATCTTTTACTTTGCTTCTCAACAGAAAATTTTTGTTCATGGAAATATATGTGAAGCAGTAAACTATCGACTTAAATGTATCTTTTTTTATTTCATTGTTTGACAAAATTGATCCGTATTTTGTTTTATATACAGCCATTACGCTTCCTGTCTGGAATATCTAGGAAATCTCAAGGCGAACTTGTTGCTCGATATTCATTTGCACGATCATGTTGAAACTCTGTACGAGCAGATACGCAGCAAAGCCCTCATCCAATACACTCTCCCTTTTGTCTCTGTCGACCTCCGCATGATGGCAAACGCGTTCAATACAAGTATTACAGGCCTGGAGAAGGAGCTCGAAACTCTCATCACTAAAGACCAGATACAGGTCATCAATGCTCGTCCGCTAAAGTCTTTTGTTGGCCAATTTCAAATTTTTAGATTCTGTATAGTTACAAAAAGGAAAAACTTCCACCATAAAACATAAATCCACTTTGTTATCCTTTAAAATTCCTTGTGTATTCATGACTCGGAAAGATAACTCGGGTCTTTTATGTGAAAGTTTATTTCTCTTTTATACCCTACTAATGTTGTGATGATTGTGCAGGCTCGTATAGACTCCCACAACAAAATCCTATATGCTCGGCATGCGGATCAGAGGAACGGGACATTCCAGCGTGTTTTGCAGACTGGCAATGAATTCGACCGTGAAGTGAGAGCCATGCTTTTGAGGGCAAACCTCGTCAAACACGATTATAACCAGAAGGCATCATCCAGGAAGCATTAGATTTGTATAATTGGGATTTGGGAGAGGATATGAACAGAAGGGCTTATTAAAAAAAAGAATCAATATGAAGAAATTACAAGGTCTGATAATTGGATTATTTGTTTGGAGTTCAGTCTTTTGGATCTGCTCTCTCACGAGTGTGGTGGAAAATGGAACAATGATTGTACATCCAAACTCATTTTTATGCTATTAGAGGTTAGAGCATCTAGATTACTTGCCTCTATTTGATAAAATGTCTAGTGCGACTTTTAAACATTTTGTGTACTTTAATAAATGATTATATATTTGGTTAATTTAAACCTTATACTTATAATTATGATAGCTAGGTAATATTAACTCAAAGCATTGTGTGATGACAATAGCCTTCACAATACACACTGATTGCAAGTATATAGCAAAAGAAAAAAAAAAAATCAAATTTTAATAATATAGTTTTTAAAAACAAAACAAATATTAACTATAAAAACATAATTTTAATAATAGTATTTAAAAATAAAGTTGAATATTACTATACAATTTGCTAAAAACAAATTGCATGTTCTAACTAATGTTCACTATTTTATTACTTTAAATAATATTATATTTCTATTATATAATGAGTTACACTACTAAATTTAATAATATAAATTTCAAAAATAAAAAAAAAAAGAAACTAATAATTTCTGTAAAATACTAATTTTAATAATAGTTTTAGAAATAAAACCAATCTTATATGCAATTTGTTAATGAGTATATTTCTACTTATTTAAATATAATTACATTTTCTATTGATTTAATATCATTTTGTTTTTATTGTAAAATTGATTATAAAATTCAATTTATTCCTTACGTTAAATAGTTTTTGTGAATATCCTGCGCATATCTGGAGAAACTGGATCGAGAGAATTACCTTTGGGTTATATTGTGAAAGTTACTGTCAATAATAAGTTTAATATCTATCAACGCTATTTTACGTTGAAAAGTTATTTTGTTATATATAATATTTGTTTTCATATCTTTAAGAGCTACTCTATGATTAATTAATTGTATATAAATATATTATTGTGTTAATATGTGTTTATATAGCATTGCTATTGCTACAGTTGTGTCTGTGATAGAACTTGAAGCGATTGTTTATGAACACTTTTGTAGAAGTGTTTTTAATTTTTCTAGAGAAAATCGTCATTTATCTCTGGAAATAACTTATCGAACAAACAATTTCCCATATTTTTTTTAAAATATTAAATATTAATTTATTATTCAACACATATAAAATTCATTTGATAATTATTTTGAAATAAATTTTATGCTATATATAATTACAAATATGCTGAGTGACAGACAAACACGCTTCAGATCTTATAAGTCAAAATTTCATGCTTTGTGGATTGATTTTAATTTACCTTCAATCAAAAAATAATTAGGCCTCAAGTATCTACAATCCTATGTGACAAATTTTATTGGTTGTGGATTGATTTTAATTTGCTTTTAGTAAAAATAACTAGGTTTGGAATATCTATAAATACACGAGATATTTATGGTAATTTTTAAGAACATAATTATACTCTAATATCATTTAATAATATTCCATACATGAATTTTTAAGACATATTTTTTTTCCTAATCTTTTTTTTTATATGCATTCTTCCTTTTAAAATTGTAAAAAAATTAATATATTAAATTATAAATATATTTTAAAAGTTAATAATTTTTGCATTTACTATTAATTTGTTATATTTAATATATCAAATTAATCATCTTTTGATGAATTATGATTAGATCTATATCGTACATACAAAATAAATAAACAATCATCCGTATCTCTATAGTAAAAATTAAACTACCTATTAATATTAATTGAAAAAAATAAATTTATTTAAATTAATTAACCACAAAGTATTTATATGATATAAGTTAAATAAATTATTATAATATAAGATGGAAAAGTTGTAGAAGTATGAGTGTCATTTAAAATATAAAATTAAAATATATATATATATATATATATATATATATTTAAATCAACTATCACTTCATATCATATCTCTCATATATCCCTAATATCCTCAATATTATTAATATATTTGAATAATATAATTCAATCATTTTTACACATTACATATAATTTAATTTTTTTTTTTTTTTTGGTACAATAAAAGAGGCCAAGGCCTAGTCTAAGACTTGCCGAGGAGACGAGACTCCCAGCCTATCATGCTCTATCCAAGAAACTAATTCCGGGGGAGGAGAAGATAATGTATGAAGACCGGGCGGGTACGAATACGCGAGATGGGCAACGAAGTCTGCCACACTATTCGCTTCTCTATACACATGTTGAACCGTAACCTCCCATTCTCGACAAAGAATATCATGAATGTCGCGCACTAGATCACCGTGTTGACCAACCTCCCCATCTGAGGAATTCACCATTCGCGTAACACGTAGATTATCAACCTCAATCACCACCCTCCGGAAACCTCGGTCCCACGCCAATCGCAGCCCGTGTGTCAGACCCAACAGCTCCGCCTCCAAAACCGTACCTACTCCAATATTCATAGCAAAACCGCCGGACCAATGTCCCAAGTCATTCCGGAGAAGCCCGCCCGCACTACTCAAGCCCGTATGCCTATTAACCGATCCATCAATGTTAACTTTGATCCACCCGACTTCCGGAGGGATCCACTTTACCAATCGAGTCTCGTACACATTCGCCCCCACCTTTCGATAATCCGCCACGGCTCGTATATAATTCTCGCTATCGTGCAGCACCATCTGAGACATCACACCCACGTTAGGCAAATTATCCGAGAACACTCGATCGTTCCTCCATTTCCATAGTCGCCACACCGACACCGCGAAAAGGCTGCTCCAATGGTCCACATCACCCAGTCGAGATTTCGTAAGGTTTTGTCGCAACCAGCCGACCAGTTCAGTCCCAAAAAAGTCCGACCTCGCAGCAGTCGGAAGTAGCCGTACCCAAAGCCGCTTAGCCTGTGAGCAGTCCCTCAAAACGTGGAGGACCATCTCCTCGTCTCCACAAAGCTCGCAGGTCCCAGATGCCGATATATGGCGGCGAAAGCGTTCAGAGTTAGTTAAAAGCCGCTGCTTCACGGCAAGCCAGAGGAACATACGGACTCTTTGTGAAGCTGGAGTGCGCCAAATAAGACGCCACAATCGGGGGGCCAGGTCCTGGTTACATGGCGATAGAGACTGATAAGCGGACTTGGTCGTAAAATTCCCATCCTCAGATGCCGCCCACATAATGCGATCAGCTCTAGCCATCGGGTTGGGAGGTTGAGTTCTGGCAATGTGTGATATTACCGAGGGCGGCAAAACCCCATGGAGGCAATCCCATTTCCAACTCCCACGATCATCTACAATATCCGCCACTTTCGCACCAACGTTCGCCACTCGTTGGGGGTCCGAGACTTTCGTGATCAAAACGTCTTCCGTCCCAAGCCATGAGTCGAGCCAGAAACGAGCCATGTCTCCTTTACCCACCTGCCACCGAATTCCGCTCAAAACTTTTGGCCACACCGATCGGATGGCACGCAGTAAGGGGGAACCATCGCGCCGCGTGATGTAAGTCAACCCGCCGGAACAATCCAATCCATATTTGGCCTTAAAAACCTGTACCCATAAAGCTTCTGGCCTTGTCAGGAGGTTCCACCCAAGCTTCATTAAAAGCGCCTCGTTCATACAGCGAAGATCACGTAATCCCAGGCCACCCTCTTCGCGTGGTTTGCAAACATCTTTCCACGCTACCAGATGCACCCTCCGGCGATCGCAAGTGCCCCCCCACACGAAAGCGCGGGAGCGTCGGGCCAATCCCTCAGAAGTCGTGCTTGGAAGAAGACTCGTTTGCATAGTGTAGTACGATAAGGTATATTTAGAACGGATTGAGTAAGAGTCACTCGGCCGGCTAAAGAGAGTGATTTCATGCGCCAGCCGGCCAACCGCGTTTCTGTTCTCTCCACAATATGGGAAAATGTGGATCGAGTGACTCGTCCATGGATAATTGGGACACCCAAATACTTCCCGAGGTTATCCGTCAAGGAGAAATTCAAAGCCGAGGCTAGCCGCTGTTGCTCGTGAAGCTGGACATTGTTCGAGAAGAAGACCTGTGTCTTTGCGGCGCTCACCTTGAGACCAGAGGCGGTACAAAAGAGATGGAGTATTCGTGAGAGGACACAGACCTGGTCATCAGAAGCCTCCATGAACAGTAACAAATCGTCCGCGAACATCAAAAATGGGACCTGGACCGCGCCCCTCCCCACGGAAATCGGTCGCCATTCGCGAGCCTCAACAGATGCACAAATCAACTGCGCCAGCCTATCCATACACAACACAAAGAGGTAAGGAGAGATAGGGTCCCCCTGTCGCACTCCCCGAGTCGGCGTAAAATCGTCCCCGATAGCCTCATTCCACAACAAGTTCATGGAGGCTGACCGAACACAAGCCATGACGGCGGAAACAAAGATCGCTGGGTAACCGGCTAGTTGAAGCGTTTCCTCCACAAAACACCATCGAAGAAGGTCGTATGCTTTTTCAAGATCCACTTTAACTACCATAAAGCCTGTCGCCCCTCGCCTCCCCCTCATCGAGTGGACAATCTCTTGCGCCACGATAATGTTATCCGTAATGTGACGACCAGGAACAAAACTAGCCTGGGCTGGATGGATGAGACCCGAAAGAGTATGTTTTATGCGGTTCACCAAAACCTTAGTGAAAATCTTATAAACCACATTAAGAAGGCTGATGGGTCGGAATTGTTTAATCGACATGGCGTTGTCCACCTTGGGGATAAGCACTAGAAGCGTACGATTCACCCATCCCGGAACCACTCCCGATCTCCACATCCGTCGGATAAAAGCGCACACGGTAGGCCCCACTATGTCCCAATGCTTCTGGTAGAAAAGCGCATTCAACCCATCTATGCCCGGAGCTTTCAACGGGCCCATATTCTGCAGAGCTTGAAAGACTTCCGCATCCAAAATGTCATGTGTCATGGCCCGAGCCCTAGAAGCGTTACTGGCGGGGAAGGCGGTCTCGAATAGGCGCCTTCCAACAACAGGCGACTCCTCCGTGTAGATTTTCGCAAAATACCCTGTGGCCAAACGGCTGAGAGCCTCTGAGTCGGTCACCCGGGAGCCATCCTCAGTAATCAGCTCTGTAATGTTGTTACGCCGACGACGGTGCTTCACCTGGCGGTGGTAGTAGGAAGTATTCCGGTCGCATAGAAAATTCCAATCACGCGTAGCCTTCTGAATCAGAAGAAGAACCCCTGCCGAATAACTTCCGCTAATTCATGGCGGAGTCGCGCTTCGAGGCCCCGAAGGTGGGTGGATTGGTAGTACCGAGTGCATCGCTGGATACCGCGGATACGAGCCAGCAGACATTTCTTCCGTCGAAAGATGTTACCGAACATCGTGGTGTTCCACTCCCGGACCTGGTCAGTGAACTCAGTTGCGGCCTCCTCAAAATCAGTCGAAGACCCCCACACTCTTTCGACAAGATTCTTGAAACCTGGGTGGAGCATCCAAGCCGCCAGGAATCGAAAGGGCTTCACTCCCCGCGGCGGTATGCGGTGATTGCCAAATTCAAGAAGGAGAGGCGAATGGTCAGAAAGAAGCCTTGGGAGGAGACGAACCCGGCTTCTATCAAACTTCTCCAGCCATGGAGTATTAGCCACAAATCTATCTAATTTCTCAGCCACCCGGCCCTGGCGAGTCTCACGCACCCACGTGAAGGCATGCCCGTCAGTTGCAACCTCTTGAAGGCTGTAGTTTCGCATCCAGTCGGCGAAATCCCGACTAATGTATCAAAATCTCGTCGAGCCTCCTATTTTCTCCGATAGTCGAAGAAGGCAGTTAAAATCACCCCCAATGACCCAGGGATCCGATATACCTTCCGCAATACGAGATAATGCATGCCATAAGGTCCGTCGATTCATCGAATTTGGACTAGCATAAGTGAAAGTGACAAGACTCACCACCCCCGCCGAACATATTCGGGCGTGTATATATTGACGGGAGTACTCAAGGATGTCAAGTTGAACTTCATCTGTCCAGAGGAGCCAAATACCCCCTGAAAAGCCTTGCGCTTCCACCCGGAAAGAATTCCCAAATCTACTGTGTCGCACGAAATTATCTGCTTGTAAACCCCCGATGCGAGGTTCTAATACGACAAAGATATCTGGTCTATAATGTTGAAGAAGGGTAGAGAAAACTCCCCGAAACTCGGGCGAGCCCGCACCCTGAACATTCCAAATAATTAACTTCATGGGTAAAAAATGAGAGTTAAATCGATCGACACCCACTCTACTGCACGAATGACGAGTCATGATCCTCCGTCATCACGTCCATGCTCGTATTCTCAACCATACATTCTGCCGCGGTCGGAAGTGAGGGGTTTTCCTCCAGCCACGGCTCAAGGTTTCTTCCACGAATTTCATCCTCATGCATCTGACAGTTCTCAAAAGGAGGTGGCATATAGTCGTCCACTATGGTAACTGCTTTGTGCTTCGTTGGGTCCAATCCTGCGCCAATGGTAACTATACCGCCACTTTTAGATCCTGAGGTTTGACCTTCCTGTAACTTCTCACTCATTCTTGACTCGCACATTGGGGACGATCTGATAGTACTCAAGAATTTATCCGTCCTCACAGTGGTCGTGGTCGCTTCAGTACTGGGAGACTTGTCACGCTCCGTGTGCACCGTCTCGGGCCTGCTAGCCACATTTGGCTTGTTGTGAGCCTTGCGACGTCCCGCTACCGTCCGCCATTCCTTCCCCCCTTTGAAAGCGGTTGGTTGAACGACAGAATTATCGCCCATCACGAACTGAGTGCTCTGGTCCGCCGCTCTCTCATGCTCCAGAATGTCGAATCTAGATCCTGCCATCCCGCTTGGGTAACGGTTATTGTAGTTCATGTCCAGGCCCGGTGTACGTCGATTATAGGGGCGTCGGGCTCGTTGAGGGACTTGGATCCACGGGCCGAACTCAGATTCCTGGCCATCGTTTTCTTTGGTGGTATTGGGACCCGTGTCTTTCGGCTTGTCGGATTCCCGGTCCTGGTTGTTTGATGCGTCCCCGTGATTGCCCTCCGGGACCGGGTTAATCGTTTTGTAGAGGCAGCCATGGCTCGTATGTCCGACTCGCCCACAATGGAAGCACAAATGGTAGGTAGGCTCTCATAGACTACTTTTTGATTTCGACCATTGATGGAGAAATTCACGCACAAAGGCTTAGTAAGGTCGACCATGACAGCCAATCGTGCGTACTTTCCACGTGTGAGTGCTGCAGTTTGATGATCAATCTTAACCACCTTTCCTACAATCTGACCAATGGTCCGGAAGATCTTCTTATGGTAAAGGTGGGCCGGTAGGCCCGGCAGCCTAATCCAAGCCACCGTCGACGTGAGTTCCTCATTCAGTGCATCAAAATCGAGGGACCATGGCTGAATGTGCATGTAGCTTGTGCCCACAACATAGGGGCCTCCCGTTAGAACCTGAACTGCATCCTCAATAGTTCGAAAGTGAACCAGATAGAAACCATTTTCGAGGTCCATCATATTACATCCCGACATGGCAGGCCACATCTTAGTAAGGCGATTGTAGAGGGACGCCATAGTCAAGGCTTCATCGAACGGCTTAATAACCACTACATTCCTCCATTCAAGATTGATTTGATCGATGAACCGTTGGGAAATTTTCAATGTCGGCGTGGGGCTAGAGAGATCCGCGACAACATCTTTCTCACCATCCTCCTCTTGTCCTTCGTCGTCGGATTCCACTTCAACGTGGTGCCGGTGCTTGTTCACCATATCACGGAAGGTCCATTTAAGTGGCGCCTGGTTTACCGCGCTTGGTGTCGGGCCGTGTAGAGACATCTGGTGATCAGAAGTTGGCTGGGTCGGCCTTAGGGTTTCCAAAGGCTCAATTGGGTCGCCTACCCTCTTTAGGGTTTTTGGGCGTTTGGACGCCTTGGTAGCGGTTCGAAACAGTGGCGGAAATTCAGAGGAGAAGGGCTGCTGCGTTGTACCATCGCCCGGGTCGAAGGTGGCCCGGCCGGCGGTCTGAGATTGGCATAGGGGAGCGTCGGAAATCGCCATCATAGACGCGTTAATTGTTATTAATCATCCACTCACACGTAATTTTAACTAACTATCATTTCATATCTGTCATACTTTCACATCAATCACCTCTAATTATTTATTTTAAATATTATTTTAATATAAATTCAAAATCTCATTAAGTCATTAACAACTAATCATATCATTTTTTCTCAAATTAACTTTAGTTAACCAAAAAAATCTATTTGTGGAAAATTTTTGTATACAAAAAAATGAAAAATATTTCTCATCCATACTTCGAAAATTTACAGACTAAAGTAAAAGCAGAAGAGATTGAACCAAAATCACAATGGACCAAGAATCATAACACACACAATCCCCAAACTTCAGATCTTCAAAAAAACCAAAGAAACACACACATACACCATAATGTGTGTGTCTGTGTAGAGAAAACGAAATGAGATTGTGCTGAGAACTCGAGATCTTGATTCAACAAGCTTCAATCTCCAACTTCCTTAGAAAGCGAACACACTCAAATGGGGCTCTTGAATCTTCAATCCTCGAAGCACCGCCACACCCGGCAATGGCGCTTGCTGGATATAATCACCGCCGCCTTCTTCGCGGCGGTCCTCCTCTTCTTCCTCCTGGTGTTCACCCCGCTTGGCGACTCGCTGGCGGCTTCCGGGCGGCAGACGCTGCTGCGCTCGGATCCGCGCCACCGCGGGAGGCTGGTGGCGCTGGTGGAGCTCGGCCGGCAGGGGACGGCGATCGATGCTTGCCCGGCTGACATGGTGGACCACATGCCGTGCGAGGATCCTAGAATCAACAGCCAGCTCAGCAGGGAGATGAATTTCTACAGGGAGAGGCATTGCCCCCGGCCGGAGGAGACGCCGCTTTGTCTGATCCCGCCGCCTCAAGGGTATAGGGTTTCGGTACTGTGGCCGGAAAGTCTACATAAGGTATTGGGTTTCAAAATTCTCTGTATTCAATTTACTGATTAATGTGAAATCATTGAGAAAGATTTGATTTTTAATCAATTTTGAGGAGATTTCACTGTGTTTTTTCAAGTTGGGCATTTGGGTTTATTTAGATTGTTAGTTTGTATCGAAATGCACGACACTCGATGGACTTGCCCATATGCGGGCCTGAGTTTAGCTTTTTAATTATTCTTTGCTGTAAGATGAGGTTAAAAAAACTGAGTTTTATGACTATGCTTGAGTTGGTGTGAGCAATCCCAAATGTTCTGCTGATTACAATTCTAAATATGCTTATGTATCAGTAGATCATTTCGATGGTTTAAATTTGGACTCAAGCATCCTGTGTAGATTTGTAGATGCTATTATAGTTGGCTGTTATAAATGGCATGATGTTCATTTTTGCATTCATTTACATACCTATATATGTTAGATCTCAATTGAATCGGCATTTAATCATTTAAAGATGCATATGTTAACAGAAACTTCTCTAAGTTTTCTTCCAAGCTTGCATGATGAAGCAATAAAAAACTAAAGTTAGGCTTGCGCAATCATGGCTTCTGTTTGTTTTTACAGATTTGGCATGACAATATGCCCTACAATAAGATAGCAGATAGGAAAGGCCACCAGGGATGGATGAAACGGGAAGGCCCGTATTTCTTATTTCCAGGTGGTGGCACGATGTTCCCCGACGGGGCAGTGCAGTATATCGAGAAGCTTAAACAATATATTCCTATTGCTGGTGGAGTTTTGAGGACAGCTCTTGATATGGGATGCGGGGTAAAAAAAAAAAAAAAAAAAAAAAAAAGATCCTTGCTTCCTTTTACCTGTTACCAATATTTCACTTAATTAAAAAATAAAAAATATTGAAATCTTATTACCGATTTCTTTTGTAGGTTGCTAGTTTTGGTGGGTATATGCTGGCTGAAGGCATCTTAACTCTCTCTTTTGCCCCGAGAGATTCACACAAATCACAGATTCAGTTTGCTCTGGAAAGAGGAGTACCAGCATTTGTTGCCATGCTTGGCACTCGTAGACTTCCATTTCCTGGTTTTTCGTTTGATTTGGTGCATTGTTCGCGATGTCTCATTCCTTTTACCGCATATAGTGAGTACTTCTCTTTTACATCATGGGTATTTTTGTGATTAGGCTCATAGTTTAAAATGGCGACGCCATGGCGACGCCTCGAGGCGAGGCGACCGAGGCGAGGGCCACTTCGCCTCGCCACTGCCTGAGGCAACCCTGTTCGTGAGGCGCTCGCTTCAGGTCGCCTCGGCTCGCCTTTTCGCATGGCGAGAGGCGCCTGTGAGGCGTGCCTCGGCGCCTTTCAGAGGAATTTAAGCGGCAGTCCATAAAAAAA